ACAACTGCATCTCTTCTGTAGTCTTCCAAAACATTCCAAGCCGCTTGCCTTTTCTTGCAACAGTTCTTTCCCCCCACACACAATCTGATACGATGCTGGAATATTCCTGGAATGCAGGAAGCGCTGAACTATGAACAGCAGTGCAGCAATAACTGGTTTCTTGTTTGATTACTGGAATCGTGGTAACTACCATAACGTATAGTAAACTCAAAGCTATAAAATCTGTACTTACAGACATGTAGGAGCGTGTGCCAACAAACGAGTTTGCCATAGAATCTATCAGTTGTCCACTGACACCAAAATCACAAAGCTTGATTTCACCTCTAGAGTTTACCAAAATGTTAGATGGTTTAACATCTGGAAAAAAATGAATGGATGATTTATATTTATAATAGATAAAAATGGGAAATTTTGACAATGACAGTTACATGAAAGGTGAGAATTACCATGGGTCTCCCTTTGTTTCCCTTCTAACTATGACACAGTTCTATCCCTTCTCCGGGAATAGAGATTCGGTTCCCTACCCAGGCCAATTTCATCAGCTCTCTATTTAACTACAGGTCACAAAAAGACATTTTTTAAGTTACAAGCGTGAAAAAGCTGTTAGTTTTATGTTTTGATTTCACCCTGTTTCTTGGCTTTCAAATATTAAATTTGGGCACCGACATCCTCCTTGAAGCGACTAACATATGATGTAAATTTGAAAGCGTAGGGTCAGCATAACTCCTCTTCGATGATGTTCCTTTGCCCAGCGTAATCAATAAAGAGGCCCTATATATTTATTTTAAACATCAATGAACTATGGCAGTCACATCATCATCCCTAACTTCACCTTCATACGTACGTAAGCATAAATCATCCTATACCAAAACAGTTCTTGGAGCATGTTCTTGCTCTTCTGCATTTTGTTTGGGGTTATTTTGGGGGGGGGGGGGGGGTGTGGTCTTGGTTTTGTTTGTTGTGGGTTTTTAAAAGCTCTGAAAAAAACAATTCTCCCATTATTGAAATTCTGCATTTAAAATACTTTGAGATTGTTTACCCGTGATAGAACCCTCATGATTTTGAATTCCTCACTTTTTCTAAATGGAAATTTAATAACGGTCACCGGTAGCTAAGCAACTAATTAACAGCTATTCGTGAATGCAAAGGTACAGTGAGCAACTGTTTAGTGTTTCTCTCATAGCTGTAAGAAGTTTTTAATACCTCTTGCTGCTTAGCTGGTCATTACCAAGGCATTACTGAGATAAGTAATCAACAGCTCACGTTTGCAAAGCAATGCTCCAGAAAAAAGGGTACTATAAATTGGTTTTGAAGACAGACCAGCTCAGCCTATCAGAATTTCACTTGAGACTCTGCTATTCAAGAGCAGATCCAGAAGTCTATAGCCAGTAGCGTATTTTCATTTGCTTTTCACTTTTAAACACAAATACATTCCAGGTAGCTTTCATTTCAGTGACTGAGGAACCAACCCGAGTTTGTGAAGTCAACAGGATGTCACTGGAAAGATGACACTAACGTGACTTCATCACTGGAAAAAAGATCTCAATTCAGAAGGTTATGCCTCACTGAACAAGATCCATAGAGACTGGAAAGGAAGACAAAAGACTGCATTTTAGCTGTTTCTCCCACCCCAGCCCCCTTTGAAAGAACAAAACAAAGCCTGAATCAAGTTGTCTGCTTTTGGAAGTTGTGGCCACATTTTCTGGTTCCTGACATCACCCTTCTAGGGAACTGCAACTGTCCAGGCACAGTGGCAATGGTGTTTTGTGATGATTTGTATACACACAAGTTCTTCTGGGCTCAGCTACAGGACGGGCAGCCTACAGCTTGTCCACTTTGCTTGGAGCAAGCATCAGCCCGTAGAAAATCCACACAGTGATATAACACAAACTGCTCCCTGGTCTTAACACAGAGGAAGTCGTGCCTGGGTACATCATCTTTCCACCACAAGGAAAATCCCAGGGCACGTGTTCCGTGTGTACTACTTGTAATTCCCCACCCCTAGGAATGCAACTGGCTTACATACGTTGCTCTCCTCAATAGATTTTGCTCCTGTAAGAGCATCAGAGGTACTGGGCAGTTTGTGGAGCTGCAGGCACCAGAATGTTACACACTGGCTAACTCAGAGCAGGGCTCCAGCAAAGAGAGATTTCAGAGGCCTTCTGGGCAGACAGCTGAACCTTCTGCAAGTTCTACCTCCTCTGGGCAAGTTTTGACTACGTGCAGAGATCTCGCCACATGTACACTTCACAATGAAAAGGAAGAATCCAGCCTAGGAGCTGGACCTATCAGTTTGGAATTCCAGCAGGAAAAAAGCCCAAACCAAGCAGAAGGTGCAGTGAAGCAAGCAGCAGAGATTAGAGATTCCGAGCTGCACAGGAATCTGCACCTACAGTTCTGTGGAAAAGCAAGGTGGAAAAAATAATGTTTGCAACATACGCTGGAAGCTCTGCAGAGCCCAAACAAATTAGATATGGCCTCTAGATTTGTACTGCTTATCTATGCACATCTACTAGTTCAATTCAGAACAAAGACATAAATCCTCGCTTATCTCTACAGCTCACGAATACTTCATGTTCATAATTAAATGGCAAATAACATTAGCATTCCACTGTCAGTGAACCAAACAACATTCTTTATAAGCATCTTACAATGCTCCAGAATCCACCTGGTCTTTTGAAGACTTAACTTTTACCTCCAGTGTTCCTCCAGCTGATAATCCCACACTGTACCTTCTTACAACAGCACAGCAAATCATGACTCCTCATCGGAGTTTTACATAAAGCTTGCTTTTCTGTAAGCATTTTCATTTTCCTTGCAACGTGCCCAGCACAATCAGTGTGATGTTTGGAAGGCTGCTGTCTTTCCACCCCTCTAAATGTAGCACACTATGCTATTTTAACTCCAGAGTGTTTAAGCAATTAAGCAGTTTCTCTGGAAACCAGAGATTTCTATTGCCAATGGAACAGGAATACCAAGGCATCCTTCAAAATGTACACTGTTACTTGCAAGAAACAGTCTTGCTTTCTAGATTGGTCTAAGTGTGCTACGTAAGTATTTAAGTTTTAAAGAAAATGAAAGGACATTTTCTATATCAGCCCAGAAACAGAGCTGTGCAATTCTAGAGAAGCCCTTAGCCAGTCCAGAGAGATGGCTACAGGGCACTGAAAAGGGAGCTACAAAGAAGTTTCCAGGATTTACAGGAAGTCTTGTGATCTCCAAGAGCTACACCTCCCCAGTCTGAGCCCTGCTCCATCCCTCCAGGCACAAGCCTTGTTCCTCCTAAGGGAAAGGCAACCCTGGACATTATCACAACACCATCAGGCAAGAGTTTCTTTTGTAGGGAAGTTACTGAGTAGCCAGACACGTGAGAACATATTTGTCTTGCAGCACATTATCGGTTTCCCAAGGCAGGATCTCATGAGAACACTCCAGGAACTCGCACACTAGAACAGACCAGTGACAGTGTCCTGGTGTGTGACACCTTCTGCCCGGGAGCTGCTGCCTGCAACTGGAGTTCAGAAGCGTTACAGAGCACCTTCTATGCAAGATGAGACTTTCCAGAGAGAACTATGCTCCAGATTGTGCTCAAAACCAACTAAAATTATGTTCTCACTAACTTCTAGGATTTTTATTCAACCAAAGGCAAAACACAGCAAAAAAGTTTGTCTGTATTAACCTAATATTAAACTAATCTGCAGCAATATACTGTGTAATTAGTTACAGAACTTTTTCCTTGTCACATAGTGCCTTCTGGTACTAACCACAAAGGCAAACAGGACCACAGGAGTAGCATTTTCTGTAACCTTCCCTGTTACAAATACCTTTATTTAACAGAATAGGAGATACTATGAAAAATAATCTACCATAGTCACACTCCTTGCCCCTTCCTTTTCTGTCCCTGCTTTGCATCCCACCGGTTTGTCCTTTACAAGTTTTGCAGTTTCCATCCTGTCTTTTCAGAGGGGACCAAAACAAAGCATGGTCGTCCAGATGAGCTAACAGTCTATAGAAACACTGCATTTTCCATTCCTTCTTTAATAAGCCCTAATAACTTTGTCCTTGAGCTGAATAATGACAAGTGAGCGCTTTTCCTCAGAGCTCACAGTTAGTCCAGGACAGACATCTGTGCATGGAAGCAGTTTAAGCTGAACCTCACGTTGAGCAGCTACCATACTCCATTTGGCGTTCTGCAGGCCCTTATGACTGTCATTACTCCTTGACGAATCCAGGCGGAGACACCACTGACAAGTTTTGCCAATTTATTTTTTATTCTTTTCTTTCAGATCAGCATTGTTTGTCTAACAGCAGTCTCTTGCATTCAGAATGCTGTGTATTAGCTTCTGCCCAGCATTACAGAAAAACGGTTAACACCTTACAGAACCCTCACCCTGGAAGAAACTCCTGTGAATTTTTGCCCGGTAGTGATGTTTTAAGTCCTTTGTTCTACTGCCCCACAATAATGGCAAAATCTCACTTGCACTAACCATCCTCAACTGCCATCAATGACACCAACACACAGACCTTCACCACTCTCTACCCAAAGAGAATACTCAGTCTCTTACCTTAAAAATAGTACTCTGATGAGGTTGCATACCCAAAGAAAAATAGGTCATCTTAAACTGCTCTGTATGCACTTAGTCTATTGAACAGTGCATTAGAACCCAAAAGGCTAGATAAATAAAGCATTACCTGAAGCTCCTGACAACTGATTTTTCTTCCCCAGACTCATCTACAGCGCAATAAACACAGCGACATGAGCACTTCATTTATATAATCTACATTAATGGGTGAGACTCGTCAAGAAACCAAAGAACAAGCTGGATGCCTACGAGTTTCAAAGGAGGGAACCCATACACAGATGCCTTACCCGACTCCTGTCTTACTTTGTAGCATCACATTGCACAAAAAAAAGTATTTCCAACCAAAATACTGAGAACGGTGTGTTTATTTGCTGGGTAGGCAATACATCTACTTGATATGAAACAGCTCCTTTTTTTAAAATAAAAAAAGTACTAAGCTCACATTTTGCATCTTACTGTTGAAGATGCTCTATAGCATCATACTTCTACTTTTCCTGGTAATCTCAGTGGCCAGGTCAGTATTTCAAACTTGCTGACATTGCCGTGTCTCACACAAGTAATAAAACATAGTAATGGAATAAATTCCTCCCTGAAAATGAGCCATCACAAGCCTTGCTGTCTCTATATTTAAGAACAAATTCTTTCAGCCTTATGTTGCTATGTGCTCATGTTTAGTGAGGACATCTACTCATTTTTACGTCTCCCACTCTCACCACAACACAAAACCAAAAAGCCTTACTCAACCAAGCCCAGCAACTGCACACAATTTTCCCCAGGGACAGGACGAGTGAGAACAAACAGCACATGTCAGATGTCAGTGCAGTGCTAGATAACCACCGAGGGCAAACTATAGGGGCTAGAGAAAGTAAACCACGGAAATCTCCAATTATAGCAGCTGTGTCACCAAAATAATGCTGACCCAGCTACACCAGGAGAAACGTGCTTTTACTAGTACCATTTATTTTCACTGCGAGTCAAGAAATAGGCAGTCTGGAAAAGTGTAACTTTGCCAGAAAAAGCTTCACCTGCACTACAAGTGTTTTCCCAGTGCAACATATCACCATTCTTATACTACAGACCTGGCTGCATTTTGGCTTCACTGGGTAGCATCCTTAACCTAGGGCCGTGTGACTCCAAGAGTTCTTAACACATAAGAAATTAAAAAAGCCTATGAAAGAAAATAAAATTATAATGTAAGAAGCTTTTCCTTTTTTTTATTACAAAAAGGCCAAGCATCTAATATGTTAAATAGCAGAGAAGTCAGTACATTTATGCTGGTATTCCTGCATTTTGAAGCCATGCTTAACATTCAGACATGCATTATCTAAGCATGTTCTGACAGCACTAAACCCCACTGACACCGTATTTCAGTCTACATACTTTTCACATATTTTATTTTTCCCACTTGCCAGTCCCTCCTTACCCGGAGTACCCCACAACAGTACAGCCAGAACACACCTGAGCATCAGTCAGCCTCCAGAAGAGCACTTCACACTGCAGGGCAGCAACTTACGAGTCAGCCAGACATGGAGGAAGCTGAACCAGGGCCCTCTGCAACTAAACCGCCAAGCTGGAACAGCTCAGCCTAGTGCCAGCTCACACACGAGGTCCAACGTACACACGGGGCTCTACCAATAATGACTGGCGGACAGTCTCAAAGACTGAAGCCAGCAGATTTGGCTCCACACGTCAAGAGATGGAAACATTGTTCTGACTGGATTTCCTTTAGCTGCTAGCACTAGCCACGATCAACTTCCAAAACGTTTTAGCTCCTGCTATCAGACATCGCACATTTCAACGACAGCTTCTGCAAACAGTGTACGAGGTCACGTATTCCTGATGTTGTCAAAGTACACAGCATGAGAACTGAGCTAAAAAATAATAATTAAAAAAATCACAATTTGTACATGGAATTTTACACTGCAGGGCACGTTCAATCCAGTAACACTGGAAGCAACATACAGAGGAACTTTTGATAGTCCACGCACTTAAAGTGTAATCTCTGATGTAGCCAATACTGTGAGGTTAAGCTGCACTTAAACAAGATCAGGAGGGCTTTATTTTGGATTTATCAGATTTACAATTTGTAAATCTGGAAAAAAAAAATAATAATTGCTGTCTCAGCAGCCAGCTGAGCAAGAACAACGTAAAAAAAACCCCAAGCAACCAACATAGTAACAAACCGCTGCTGGGGCTGACTTGAGCACTACAAGATACTACAGTAACTCTTGCAGTACGCCCTAAAATAAGATGATCTCTTTCCCAGGAGTCTCCCTTATGCTCTGAACGAAGACAAATGTCTTTGCAACTACCACTAGAAATCTTTAGAGTTTACCTCCAGCCTTCTTTCTCCAGGAGAGCTACATTTGATTGTTTAAAAAAAAAAAAGAGCCAGAAACACATAATAAACACAGTCTACTTCACATGTAAGCTGATCCTACAACAGATTGTATAAGCTAGGATTACTAACTACTCCTTTTGGTCCAGCCATCAAATGTAAACTCAGACACATATTAGTGTCTGATGAGAATATTTTTATAATCTGAAGATTGATCTCTTATGGCACAACTCTCACCAAACAGCTGTCATGGCTTATACACATTGCATGATCACTGCAATGAACAGTGCCATTCAAACAAAACCATGAAATGCTCCATCTCCAGTCTTCAATTTACACTCACGTCAGGAATAATGGAATTTATTACTTTACCATATCAAGTGTCATTTTTGTTTAACAGAACATGCAACAGATAAATGAAAAAAATGGATTTTAAAAAGGGCAACTGTAAGCTGAAAATAAAGCAGTGCATTTATTTTACACTAAAGTAACTAAAGACACCGGGAGTGTAGAAGCACCACTCATTTTACATAGCTTCACCACGTTTTTTAAATTGTTTAGGTATAAAGATGCACTTCTGCATGCTAAATGTCTATAAATAGCACGTGAACGTAAGACAGCTGGTAGAAATAGTGACTTTTAGAAGTTTTAATGGCAATAATGAGAGTTGAACTGTCAAACTAATTTTAGATCAGAGATTTTTATTGTGAATCTCTCCAAAGATTTTCTTGTCACATTTAATCTCTTAGTACCAAAAGACTAGCAGTTGCAGTGAAGAAATACAGTGGAACAATACTTTTTAATACAGTTTTCTTCATAAAGAGTTAATTATGCTGTTACAAAACCCCATTTGTAAGTATCTTATCTTAACTGTCTGCTTCTCTTTCTCTCAACCAAGTACAGGAATGGAAACTACATGACGAGCTTACCTCCACATGTTGCCTCATTTCAGAGATATGATATTTCTAAGAAAGACACTGCCCACAACTGTACCAGACAGGGTGTGCCCTCACTGCAGCTGCACTGGGCAATAGGTAACTTGTCCCACGTGCCACTGCTGCAGGTAGAAATGCCTCAGAGCTGCTTCAGTGTCTAGCACTGTCCAAGACTGCAGCCTCTGCTTCTGTACCCATCTGTGTTTACCTAGAAGTTTATCATGTACTTTCCTGTTGAAAAAGCATTCTTCTCTTCCCAGAAAATGCAGGAAGACTTATTTGTTATTTAAGGGAAATAAATTAATTCCTCAGGTCCTGCAACGTATTTCCATCTTCACGGCAAGAGGGTTATTTCTGGTCTCAGGTTAAGATTCCCAGCTCTAGCACATACTCCCAATGGGCCAAATCACTCTGGCAGCAAGCGGTTTCAAACACAGACAGAAATTCTGTGTGCACATATAAGACAAGCATACCAGGCTTAAACCCTGGATTATAAACCCAGACAAACTGCAGTAAGATAGCAGAAGTTGAAGATAAATGACAGTCACAGTAAAATATTTGGATTAAAAAAAATTTTCCTTACACTACCCAAGAAAACCCTCTGAACCAAAGTTATAGCGAACCATAAAGAACATTTTAATCTGAATTAAAAAAATTATATTCAAGTTATAATGTAAAATTCTCACCTCTGTGCATTATTTTATGCTTTTCTCTCAGATATGTGAGTCCTTTTATTACCTAAAGTCAAAGAAAAAAATTTAGTTTATGAAACAGAAGGGATAATTGCATGCTTTGTCTGTACAAGAATTCCAACCGAGTGCAACGTAACAGAAATGCCAAAGTGTAATCACTACAAATCAATGTTCTGTTAATTTGTACCTCCAGCTCAGACTAGAAAAAGTCAACCAAGCCCTTGCTGAATGTTTTGCGTACAGAGCTTGTTGCACAACAGACACGAAAAGGTAACGTCTAAAATGTTTTAAGGAAGCATTAATTCTCTTCCTGTACAGAAGCATCAGCTGATACAAAAGCAGAAAATCAAAGCAAACACAAAAGAATGTGTTACTCATTCCAGAGCCCTGAGCTACCAAATAATGACATGTACAAAGACTGCTTTTTAAAATAAAGCAACACGCTCAGAAATTTGGTAATATTCCTCTCTTCCCACATCCTTCAGCCCTCAAGTGGCAGCTTCCTGGACCTGGCATTACCACACCGAGACACAACTGCACCCACTTCCAGCCTTTGAGAGCCACGAAGACGCTTACCGCAATGCTAACTTTGCCCAGTATCTGCTCTGGAATTCTTCCAGCCTTTTTCAGTACTTGATCCAAGGAGCCGCCATCCTAATAATAAATGTTTCATTAGTAAAGCTTTAATCAAAGCACTCTAAAGCATTTTAAACAGGACTGTAGTCTGAAGCCTAAGTTTGGTGAGAAAAAAAGTGTTGCTTTTCATGGTTGATTTAACATTGTTACATCTGAAAAAAAAAAATAAAACCACTCCTCAGTAGCAACTAGTCAGTTTTATGTTTATTCTAAACAAACATTTGGCCAGCAACAACATCCACTCAAATAAACACTTCAGACAATGATCTTCCACACTGGTATCTCCACGGTTTGGATCTTGTTAAGGAAGTACTGTCCACAAACAGCTGCCAACCAAGCATTAGGAATTTTAGAGATTTCTGTAACTTTCAGTCCATTGCACTAACGCGCATTTTTTTTTCTTGTCATAGCCATCCCATGATACTCTCTCCCCCTCCAAAGACAGAATGAGAAGGGCCGAAGCAGAGTAGAAGATTATATGTTTCTGATTATGGGGAGGAAAAATTCATCACACCATAAAAGACACAATTCTATTCCTGAATATAGTGTGTGCTAGTGGCACCTCACGATCCCAATTAAACCCAGATCCCTGTTCCTCTCATCTCCCAGCTGAGATCCTGCTCAGAGACAGGTGGCCTCCGCTAGCTCTTCATATCCAGGGCGACAGTCAACTTCCAAGGACAGAAGGGTAATCTGGCACAGCTCTCAAAGAACGAAAGCAGGAAGAAATGTTTGTGAAGTTCCATGGTCAGTAACAGTTTTGCTAATCATATTAGGTTAAATAAATTGAATGCATCCACGCACGCCCCCAGTCAAATATATTCCACTGCTGCCAAGAGTTTTTGAGAAGGAAAACAGTAAGAAAAATGCTATTTAAATTTAGCAACTGATCAGAGAACAGGCTTGTGCCTAAGTTCTGACTGTATATTCTCTGTTCTAGAGAATCTAAAGAAGAAATTACAAAAGTTATTTCTCAAAATGCAAAAAAAAATATCCTGTTGCCCAGATCAGCATTTGATATCTCCCAATACTCAAGACAAAAATCCAACTTGAGAAAATAGCTACCTTCTGCCTTAACCTATTCTTTGGAAGTTTCATCACCATCTATACATGTCAAAAGAAAGGCCAGAACGCCAAGTTTTATTATTTGAGAACTAAAAACTAAAGCTCCTACAAGAATAAAAGTATATAAATACTTATTTGATCATGTATTTTTGTAAAAACACACCCACATACACCACGCTTGATTAAAAATACACCACCAGAAAAAAAAAGTCTATATAAATCTCTTGTATAAGCAGTCTGCATTTCTGGACAGCTGTCTCCGCTGAGACACTGGTATATTAACAAAGATTTCATACAGAAAAACAACATCCCCCCCCCCCCCTGAGGCCTAGGCACCAGTCCTGGGAGAGGCTGAATACAATTGCCTAGTGCTGGCTGCAACCTCCAGTGTCTTTCAGGAGCAGATTTCAATCCTTTTGCCTGTTCAATACCTGCTGCCAAGCAAAGTTATGCGTCGGTTTTGAATTTATGTACCTAAAAATATCAAACACTCAAATCTTTAAGTTCCATGCCTTTTCCACCTCCAACCTTTTTTTCGTATTCATACCTACGTTTTATAACTCACTGCTAAAAATAAGAATTTTGACTGGCAGCAATTGAAAGATAGATATGTACAAAAAAAGACACTGGAGATTCTCATCTCATCTTTTATCCAAAAGACCAGAAACTTCCACACAACGATCCCCACTAAACCAACAGCTTAATGGCTTAATTAAGCCATCTACAGAGTCCACCTTCGTTTTCTATTTCATATGCTATTGATCAATTGTTCTACATGTAAAATCTTGTACCCAGTCTTACTTCAACTAGATTCAGCACTGAATTGCCAGATTTAACACTGTCTTCTCAAACTGATGAAATGTCTACTGTCAGATACATCACTCCACGCTTAGGAATCTGCAAACTCTGATCCTTCCTGTTAATTTTCTCACTGACAAATAACCTGAAATTTAGGTCTTATTTCTACATGTAATTACATAGCACCACCACCTCTCTTTCGGCACGCGTTAACACACATGTTCTCTTAGCAACTGCAGATGTGCACGTTTGTGACATTCGTTAACTTTACCCTGAAACAACGCCCAGTCATTTTTAACATCTATTTTCCTATTTTTCAATTTTGAGACACTAACTTCCTTATAACTCCCAATACTCATTTGTAGTTTGGGGTGTACACACCTTCTATTCAGCCAGCACACGCTTATAAAACTGGATCATGATCGCTCGTTCCTAGGCAACCATCGATTTCTTCTAAAAATTTCCGTAAGACCAGAGAAGCATTAAAACAATCACATGTACTTCCCAGAAAAAAATAAGGTTTCTTTCCATAGAAACCGTTTTTTCCAGGGAAAAAAATAAAAAGGTCTTTAGATTTATTGTATTTCATATTGTTAAAAACATCCTCTACTAAGTAAGCGAGGCAAAAAATTTGACTGACCTTTAATTACAGAAATTTTACTTTTAGTGTTTGGATCCATATGGTTAGAGAAAGGCAAACAGATGTCAAGAAGAATGTGTACTTTTCTAGTAAAATGAAACACAGTTAAAAATATTTTTTGCATTAAAAAATTTGTTTAAGATCCTTCTGGGCTTGTTCATTTCCTGTGCGCCATTCTTAATGTTCGCATTTTTTGTAAAATTTGGAAAAAAGGGGACAAAATATAGATTCATCTACATAAGAATTAACTAGATTCTCATTATCATCGCTACTAAGGACTACGCAGCTGTAGCATCAGTGACCTGGTCCGTTCTGCATAAAACCAAAACTAAACCCAAATCAGAACAAGTCAGAATTGGGTAAATATTTTTAAACTAAACAAAAAGGACCATGGATAAAGGAGAGCCAACTGGGAGGCTACACGTGTACAGCTTTGACTTCTACAGAAGAAGAGATACTGGAGAAGGAGACAGAACCGATCACACCAATCACAACCTCAGGTCTGCAGAGTAAACCCAAAACACAACTCCTTATTCATGCAGCAAGGTCTACTTTAAGTCCTGTTCACACACAGGTTTTGCATAAATGGTCTGTTAATAACTTTAAGCTAGGACAGATTTACATGCACTTACCATATGTTCCATGCAAATGCTGATTTCCCCATCGCTGTAAAAAGCTCCATAAAAGCCCACTATGTATGGAGAGTTGCACTCGTGTAGAACTTGCAGCTCACGAATGATCTGGTTTCGAATAGCTGGCTTGATCTCTAGATGAATTAACTGTAAAATAATCCACACTCTATTATTTTCTTAGTGGCAAAGTGCCATTCAGAAGGAACAGGTTGTTCAGAGAGGTTTTTAATACCTAGCTGGATAAGGCCCTGAGCAGCCTGCTCTGCTCTTGTAGCCAGTTCAGCTTTGAGCAGGAGGTTGGACTACATGACCTCCTGAGGCCGCTTCCAACCAGAATTATTCTATGATTTAACTGTAAAATAATCCATCCTTATTATCTCAGTGGCAAATGGAAAAAACAAACCACTACAAAACAGTATGAGAAAGCTGAAACATCAATACCCATGAAGAGGTGGTACTTCCATCTCTTCACAAAATACATCTCTTACCAGAAATTTTTTGTTCCAGCACATTTTCTCCATTTATCTGTTTTATATGGATAGTTCAGAAACTGAAGCTCTTTACATCGAAGAAAAGCCATGAACAAACGTCTAAAGGAAACGTGTCAAAGACATACTGACTCAGAAGCAGCTGCTGAAAAATACCTGCACAAGTATTTGTAAAGCTGGAAGGAATGAGCTGAACCTCAAGTTAAAAACTCCCCAAACTGAATCTAAATCTAAAGCAGATATTAGATAAAATACTTTGTACCACTAAACTGTTTCTCATACAAGTAGTCTATTTCTTTTGTGAAAGGGAAAATTAAGAGACATGATGGAAATCAAATTTTAGTCTATACATGAAAGAAAAATTGCAGTTCAGCAAACACCTCTGTTGCATCAAATATTAATGAACTGGGGCAAAGTGTCCTGTTAAACTCACAGTAGGTTAAAAAAAAAAAATCAATGAAATTGATTTAGTTCAAGAAAACCTCAGTGATGTGATTAGTTTGTAATTCTCACACCTCAAGTGGGCATTTCTCTTTGCTTCTCTCCAAACTGTCAATGTACTGAGTATGGTTTGTTCTTAAAGTCAGTATATGCACATTTTCCTTGAGTTTCACTGAAAATGACAGGTACTGAAAATAAAAAATGCAACACCTGAAGTCTTTCAACTTCTCAATTTAAAAAACTGGAAGTTTTTTAGCGTCATATAACAATGGGATCTGGGATTTGAGTGTGATCTGTGTTTTATCCTTCTCAAAGGCGAGGTTATGTTTTCCATGAGTCACAGTAACCCGCCCGCAGTCCCACCCGTGCAGTACAACGGCAGACGTCCCGACACGCTGCCTCGCAACAAGGGCTACCTGGGCAAGGAACTTCGCTCCTGGAAGGAAGAGGTGTGAGGTTCCCAAACAGAAATAATCAGGCAGTATCAGAGACGCATTGCCCTCACCCTATTTGGTCCCCAGGGATACTGAAAGTGAAAGCTCCTCACAAACAAAATGAGAATTAAAACATCATGCTGTTTTAGCTCAAAAAAAAAAAATCTCAGTTCTCTTACAAACTAGGTCACAACTGCTATTGGTTGTAAAGCATAAAGCTGAATCATTGGGAAATACTCTCGCCAGAAGGACAAGTACCTTTTTGCACAGAAGCCACCTGCACCCCATGATGGAGCTATAAAACAGAAGACATCACTGTACTCCAACGCATTCCCTCATTCTCAGGTTTTTTGAGTGCTCATTTTTTCATCCAGAGGCCCTTTCTGGTCTGCAGCTATGAAGGAAGATCTTAGGACAGGTGGTATCTTTCCCATTCCCTTAAACTTAGGGCCCAGAATACCAGATATTGACACTTTTCCCTGATTTCAGTAACTTCTTTTAGACCTTCTACTCATTACTGAGTCTGGCACATTTTCTTTGAAAGATACATACCCAGCTGAAAAAATCCTATTTGTCAAAAGAGGGAAAAAAAAGGGGGCAGGGGGAAGCAAATGCCTATCCTTTCATTACTAACAAGGGACACTATTTACGAAAAACTGGGAAGCTTAGGATAAACAAGTGCAACTTTTCCTACTTTGAGACACACCAACTTCTCTGAAAGCTGGCATTAAATCGCCTTTTTTCTGTGAGTCAACACCCTTATTTCTCTAAATAAAGGCACTGTATTTCATCGCAGAGAAGCTCCTTAATAAAAACCTTCCCTTAGTTTGTATTTTTGAGGCACTCACCTTTCTCGCCATTATGAGACCAGAAGGCTTGTGAGATACTTTGAAGACCACACCACCATTCCCTGCTCCCAGCTCACTGATCTTCTCAAAGTCATCATCCTTCAGCTCTCCAACTTTCTGTTTCTGGGTGAGAAAAGCTTCGAGGCGCTTTCGTTGCTGTTCATCCAATTCTAGCTCTTCCAGCTTCTTCTGAAGTGCTTCCAAATTTGTCCTGTACAACAGAGAAAGGGATTACTAAGCTGTCTGAGCTTACCTACCCAGCAGCGTTGCAAGAGGAAAAGCAATAAAGCACTGAGGTCAGAGGTTAAATCCACTACTTTTTTGCACCTATATGCATTACCTAGAAGGATCTGACTTGTACAGTCATCCCCATAAGAGACACATAATTGGAATTCTGATTTAAGTGAACGCTATTTTATTCCAGATAAAACAATGACATAAACATGAACAGATGATACCCAGTTTCCTGGTCTTTGAGGTTCTGTCCAAATTCATGCATGTTAAGCTTCACTACCTACAGGAGAGGATTAATGAATCAGCATTTATGATCAGAGATCTCATGAATCACAGGACACTATTTTTAGTTTTGCATTTTCAAGTATTGCATTGTAATTGCCTACAAAGTTTGTCTAAATATTTTATCTACTGATTTTCACATAACTATATAACTAATAATTCATTCAAAAGCTTCTTATTTAGATATCAGTAAAAAGTTATCAAGCACAGCCAAACAAACATGCATTGAAACACAGCCACTGGAAACACAGAAGTCATCTCTTTTCCATAGTTAAATGGAGGTAAAAAAAACAGCCCAAAGGTTTTAAGCTTACTTTGTCTTTTGTTTAAGGGCACATCTACTAGAAACCTCAGTTTAATATCATTAAGCAATAGAAAATTGAAATATAAAACTTTAAACAGAAGTTAGATTTGAGACTACAGAAAGAAGTTCAGTTTCTCAGGAAGATTTAATAATTTCACTTCACGTCCTATGAAAATGCTTCATTCCAATAACATGACAACTTAAAAGCTCATTTAAAATTTCCCACTTCCAACAGCAACAGTAAGTTCCTGCAAGAGTAAATATTTAAACAGCAAATATCCATTTCGCTTAGCCAAATTTAATGCAACATTCCCAGGGAATACCGTGTTGCTAGGATGAAAAACAAGATCTACTTCTTCAGAGCCTAAACCACTTCCCACTAAATAAATCACTCAAATCTCACCAATAATCAAGAAAACTATTTCTATTCATCACTTCATTAAATGTCGACTTTCAAAACATGCTGTACAGACAGTCTCTTAATGCCCAGCAAGGTGCTGGCCAGTTGAGACGATACAAGGTGGATTCTCCTGGAAGCAATGACAAATAAACCCCAGACTCAACAGAAAGGCAGAATTACAGGATGAAACCCTCAACTCATTCGTTAGAGAGCACGCATTTCCAGGCAGGATAACCATCTTGGTTTGACTGTATGTAAGGTTTAATTGAGGCAAATAAAAACAATATAAATATTCACAGCTCTTCCTCACTACACAATCACTCTGAAAGTTTACGTGATGATGCACTCCTACATCATTTATCAGTTTAAATATGTTAGGGGGCAGTGTCTGAGCTAACTTAGGAAGTGATAATGCTTCGAAGAGCTAAACAGAGGAAACTGAATGAGACCTTTGATGGAGAGGAGAGTTCCATTCAGTCTGCTATTTTGCCATTTTAACAGTCCGAGCATAAGAGTACCAGGCAATGCTTGTGAGCAAGTTCCACAAAACACTCACCATGGGCAAATGAATTTGGCAATGCAGCTCAAAACCAGAACAGTCTTACATCGCAAATTTTGACGTACTTTTACTGTATTTACACTACCATACCTGCCTCTTTCTTGGTATAAAAATAATTTCATTCTGGTGCAGATACTTCATTTCCAGGCTATCCTACAAAGAGGAATATACTCTTACTTCTGTCCTCATACCAGGCTTTATACCAGTATAATCATACAACAAATATCCTAGAGTACCCACAATGAGAATTTCCCTCTGTAGGTAAGCGTGGCTTATAGGAACATTCAAGTTAATCTGACTTACAGACTCCGGTTTACAGATGAACCATTAACAAAGACATTTTTGAAATCTAATTTCTAAAATGCAAAACAGAAAGCAGATTAATCACTGGATTTCCCCTGCCCCCCCCC